GTCACATGTCTTCGAATTTTTGGTTCTAGGACATGCCGGTTTCCTCACGATGTTTTCCTTCACCGTTTAGAGAGCAGTGGTGATGAAATAAATTACAAAAAGTAATGCGCCTGGCTGGGTTTGAACCCGCGACCTACAACTTGTAAGTCGGGGCCGACACCACCTTGGGCTTTGTTACAATCACCTAAATCATAAAAATGTTGGTATGGGGGAGCCATTTTATTGCCTGTCTGCAACAGCAATGTCTTTAGATATGGTGTTAGTCATTAGAATTGACAATTCGAAATACTATTTAGAATGCTCAATTCGCAATTTTTTATTTAAAAAATAATCTAGTTATAATTGACGGTTTATTTTATTTATATGCCATAAATATTATTTTTTACAGATTGAACAGAACAGCTTTGTGTGTCATCCTTGTTGGATTATAGCATTGAATGCATCTGTCAGCGTGCAAGGTTTAACATCTGATGCCTCAACGAGCTCAGATCCAGGTCGTCACAGGCAGTTATGTGTGATCTGCAGGTGTTCACTATTAAGGATTCGATCTCATGGGATAAGCATTGACACAGAACGTGAAAGACATATCCGAAGTGTTATTTTGCAATGGATTCAACCACGTGAGGTATTTTTTTTTTTAATCTGTCAGTGAATAGCCAGTAGCATACACCCATGTTATGATCAACACTAGGTATCCCTTACCTGACTGTGGGTTTAATGATTATAAGCAGTTGATGCTGATGATGATAATGTTATTCATTCTTCTTAAAGTAATCTTTTTTGTCTCAGCTGACAACATCTGATAGAATCTGCCATCCTTGTTGGCAAAGATCTGACAGACATAGCAGACATAATGTTGAGAGTGATGCTATTGATAATGCAGAAAATCCGCAAGGTAGTAACAGTGGAGCCGAGGTACCAGTAGGTACTATATTTTTACCTCTTATGAGAAGAGCTCCAGATACACAAGCGCGTTGTTTCTTACCAGGTTGCAATGCTGCAGAAAGACTTAGGATTCCTTTGTGGCTTAGAATCAATATTTTTAGTGAGTACAATTACTATGTACCACGGCAATGTAGGATTTGTGAATACCATTTAAGAAATGACAATTTTGACATTTTGAGTAATGACTTGCAATCAATACAATATTTTACTGCGAATCACATAGAAGACTTTGCTTCATTCGTAAAAGAAAGAGTAATATTAGACTTTTCAAATATACAACAAATATCTAATAACTCAGTGCATTATTGGACTGGTTTAACCAAACACCAGTTTTTTGAATTGAATTGAAAACTGATGTGCAACAAATAAATAATACGCGAAATGGCACATTAGCTCTAGCTGCATATCTTATGAAAATAAGAACTGGTGACAGCAATGAGCGCATATCAACCTTATTAAATATACCCCCTACCACTTTAGTAAGATTATTAAAAAAGGTTCGTCTAATACTTTTTGATGATTTTGTTCCACGGAACTTAGGGATGAGTTACATAACACGAGCTCAAATTACTCCAAGAAATCTTATGATACCCAATGAGTTGTTCGGCGGGGTAGAAAGGAACCCAATTATTATTCTGGATGACACCTATTTATATGTACAGAAAAGTACTAATTATGTATACCAGAAAGATAATAAGTATCTTTGCATAAGTATAGGAACCTCATGAAACCTTTTATGATGGTATGTACTGATGGTTATATTATCGATGTACTTGGTCCTTATCCAGCAACAACATCGGATGCAGATGTCATGATTAATGAATTTAATAATGAAAATAATACTTTACGAAGGTACTTTCAACCTGGGGATGTTATTTGCTAGATAGGGGTTTCAGAAATAGTGTCCCTTTACTACAACAATGTAACTATACTGTTCACTTTCCACTATTTCTGCAACAGGATGAAACTCAATTATCAACAGCGGCAGCTAATAAGTCAAGAACGGTGACAATCATATGAATGAAGAAAATGAATTAGCAGAATTTATTGTAAGAAACCATTATAATAGGCGTAGGGCTAATTTTCATACAATAACTGTACAAAATGATAGCCTGAATGATTTTCCACAGCTTACTGATAATGAGCTCATACTAATATCACTAGGCACGTATCAAATCAAGCAGGCACGTTCCTATTACGGTGAACATGTAAGAGGCAATGATGGGTATGTAATAGAAGTGTGCAGGGAGGTCAACAGCAGTCTACTTCGAGAGCTTTCGGCTTCAAATTCCTCATGGCTACTAAGGGGCCGCATTCAATCAAGACATATAAGTCGCAAAACGTATTTTGTTTATATTTTAGTTGACAGCTCTCGCAGAGGTAGGGAAGCAATATTAAAATATTATTGTAACTGCATCGTAGGTAAACGGACTGTAGGCTGCTGCGCCCATGTTATGTCAATAATATGGTACCTTAGTTGGGCAAGGTATCAAGAAAATATTGTACCACCTGCGCAATTCCTAGATGACGTTCTTGTTATAATTGAAGAAGAATAAAAAATATCAAGAAAAAATGGTCCAAAGGTCATCGTTTGGGCCGCCTTTTCTGGTAGAGGCATAATCGGCCCCTTTTTTCATGAAGACAGACGTGGGCGAGCAATTACGGTGAATACAGACCGTTATTGTGACATGTTAAGGAATTTTTTGGCGCCCGCATTACAAGATTTCCCAGGGTTTAATTCAAGAACATGGTTTCAGCAAGATGGAGCCACATGCCACACCGCAGGGGCGTCAATAGAGGCTGTAAACGAATTGTTCCCAAACAAAGTTATCTCGCGTAAGGGCACCATTAACTGGCCCCCCAGAAGTCCAGATCTTAGTCCTCTCGACTATTTTTTATGGGGATACCTTAAGGGTAAGGTATACGATAACCACCCAACGAATTTAAATCAATTGAAGGAGAACATCACGTCAGAGATGAGGGCAATCCCAACTTCGCTTTGTCAACGCGTCGTCGCCAACCTGCGTTCAAGGTTAGAGGAGTGCCAGCAGCGTGGGGGTACACATTTAGATAATGCTATATTCGCCAAATAAATTTCCAAAAAACTGTTTTTGAACTAAAAATAAAGGATATATTTAATTAATTGTATTTCTCATTTTATTTAACTGTCAAATACCCGCTACCCGTACTGGTCACCCTGTATATTGTTACAACCTCACTTTTCTTAAATCTCTTATACCTCGGCTCTCAGATTGCCAAAATCTGCAAAATTTTCAGTGATTGTTTGCTTATATAGTAGCTATCAATTGACACTAATTTCATCTTTTTACATCTAGGCCCAAAATTGTATGAAAGGGTATCCGTCTCCTTTTACCGATTACTGAAGATGTTTCTGTAAGCAATCAGGTGCAACTACAGCCTATGCAAGAAACAACTGAAATATAGTTCAGCTTATGTTTAAGGGCTAGTGTTAGAAAGATTGTTTATGGATTGTAAACAGAACCTGAACTTGTTTGTAAAAAAGGAAGAAATTGTCTTGTCAAATAAATTTTTGCAATGTCAACGGTGATTATAAAAAGCCGGCTGAAATCTCCATTGTTTTTCATTTTACCACGGTAATTTCCAACAACAACACATCAATGGACAGGGCCACTGAGTACAGATCACCCTCACCCAGTATTTTATCTCAAGATGATTTGATTTGCCCTCTTGTACCAGTCATAACTGTGGACAAAAGTGTGACGCCCACAAATATGAGCGTACCTTCGACAAGCAAGGAATACATACCACTGTCATCCATTCAAGAATTACCAAAGCTAAGACGCAGTATCGGCGAAAGAAAGGTAAAAAGCCAATCATTGCAACTGAAAGTCCCTATAAATTAGAATTGGAAGAAAGAAAAAAAAAGAGGAAGAGGCATTAGCTAAGAAGAAGATACGACTAGACCTGAAAGATAGACTGAAATTTAAAATGACTTTTAAAAAATCTACGAAAACTTTTAAGAAAAAGACTGTTAGTGTAAAAGAAAAAGAAAATGATGAACAGGAATACTTTTGCCCTTTGTATGGAGAAAAATAATAGAAATAAAAAGAGAAAAAATTTTAAGAAGACCGATGCCTCGTTGGCCGAGTGGTCGTAGGTGCGACTGCCGGGCAAAGGGTCTCGGGTTCGATTCCCGGGTCGGGCAAAGTATTACTGGGTTTTAAAAAAATTCTCAATTGTAGCACGGAGTCTGGAACTGTGCCCGGTATATGGCAATAGGCTCACCTCTATTACAAGGGACTTATACCATAACATTGTAAAGTGGCATAATGTGCACCTCTGCCTACCCCTTCGGGGATAAAAGGCGTGATGTTACGTTATGTTATGTGACCTTAAACGTGATATAAACAGATAATAATTAAAAGTTTGTAGTCTTAAGTAGGTAGTTATAATACGTTAAATTTACCTGGCGGCGCTGACGGTTCCTGTTCACGACACAAGCAGCTCTAAGGGTAGGCATGGGATCGAGCAGACTGTAAGTAGACCTTTTTACTATCCTGTCTTGTCCTTGTTATTTCCTGTATTGTTTCTGTAGGACTTTATTGCGTAACTTTAAAATTAAAATCGTTGAAAGTTATTTGACTTCTGCACGAAATTGGCAGACATATTTTAAAAGCGGCTTTTTATATTTAAGTGTTTAACACTCAGTTGCAGAAAGCTGTCCTTAAAATCGACTTTAGTTAATAAGTCATTATCGCTAATTACTTCATTAGATTTAAAGACGTTGCACAAAACTGTTACTGGCCCCTTTAATGATCCTTTAACTAAAAACCATTTACAGACGAAATTAACCTGTGTTGCAAGTTAAAACACATATTTTGAATGAAATGATTGAATGGTTGCGTTTAGTAATTGTGTTCTGTCATTTCAACACGTATGCATTTGTAAGAATAAAACGTAACAAAACATCAAATTCATATTTTCCCAATGTCAAACTCATTTTTCAAATAAACTGACGGTAATACGTGCGTGTTGTATTTTGTGTTTTTGTTGAAGAAAATTAATAAATTAACATGTCGCAACAGCAACCGCGAAAACGAGGGGCAAACTATACACAAGATGAAAAAGCATTACTACTCGATCTTGTCATGCAGTGAGTATTAAATGACCACGTGTATTAATATTTCTGTGTTACTGCTTTACTTTAAAGCTATTGACCTAAAACATTATCATCTTACAGATATAAAGATATCATAGAATGTAAAAGAACTGGAGGCAAGTTTATTGAGAAGAAGAGAGAAGTATGGATGGCTATTACAATAAAATTTAACAGTAGTTGCACTAGTGGTACAAGAGACACGGACCAATTAAAATCATTGTATGATAATATGAAGCAAAAATCTTGCAAAGATGTTGGAGCAAGTAATGTGAGTAGTCTATATCTAGATGGTCACATTGATGAATGCTGGTTATAATGGGCACATTATGTAATTATATAATAATACAGTAGGTAAAGTTCAATTTTTTATTTTAGAAATTAGCGTAGGTATATCAATGCTGAACAGAACCGAATGGTGACAGAGGATGATGTTGCGCGTGCAATAAGAAAACAAGGTTAAAGAAGACAAGGTAATAATCTACCGTTTACTGTGTTTCTGATGGGTGACCATCTACTATGTTATTGGTGGGTGGTTCACAAGTAAAAGGGAATGATACAACTTGTTTTCTATTATGTATTGTTTTTAGGTCGAAATGAACAAGACTGGTGGTGGTTTTTGGAAGCCAAAAATGAATGACAATGACGCAAAAGTCTTGGCTATTATACAGGATCAGGTGGAACCATTGAGCAATCCATATTATAGTGCATCTAGTTTTTCTTCAAAGGTATATAAATCTCAACAATGTTCATGTTCTTTTCGGTTTATATATATATATATAAAAGAAAGACGGGTTTGTTCCAACAGTTATAACTCGAGATCAGCTAGACCAAATTCCATGGCTTTTTGTTCGATTTGTCCCCGCCCGGAATAGCAGAATACATTAAAAATAATGAAAACTCGACGAGAACATCATAATTATAAAAGATGAATCATTTTCCCTTAATCTTACTAGCTTCTGCCCATGGTTTCGCTCGCGATCTTTTAAAGTATTAAGGGTAGGTTTACGAGAGATAAAAAAGAATTGGTACCCGATGATGTCCTGGGTACAAATATGATACTAATTTTAGGTTTCTTAAAAATTACGAAATAATCCATATAAACCAGCCAGCCCCTGTTTTAAGCAAGTGGTGGGTTAGAAAGAAACAAAATGTCGCCTTTGCTACTTTCAACCCTTTCTACTATCTTCATTCAGAAAAAAAAACCGTCAATTTCTAACAATACAAACAGACACGTACAAATTTATAATATTGAGTACACAGTTCTATGTTATCTGACATTTTGACAAGTAAGTTTCATGCCAATGGATGATTGACAATTATTTTTTTTTTTTGGCATGATATAACATTAAGGTATGCAAAGAGGCTGAATACTAATATTATTAACCTATTTGATTGAAATACGGTTCAACGAGAGTTGGAGACACTTGCACTGGAAAGGACGTATGATTGTTCTTTTTTTTTTGAAGGGGGGAAACTCTTCGAATCACTGGTCCCGCCTGGGTGAGGCGGGAGGGAGTGTCAGACTCTTACTGACTAAAAACCACCCCGTTCCTACTCCTGCACTTCGAGCCGGAGCTCCGGTAACCCGTTAGGTTCTCCGCGACTCGGTATCGCCATCAGCCCTATTAGGCCCCATCCGTGGTGGTCTGATGTCTCTTATAATATTTAAACTGTCAAACACCAAGCGGTCACCGGTGACCGCAACCTATTGTTCTATAATTGTGTCTACAAAACCGGTACTCGACGAGTTAAACTAATTTTTCAGAAACCAATGTCTTTACTGCGGAACCAATGCCGTCTTCTTCTACAGCTGCTTTCTTGTGCCCCCCAACACAGGACATAATATTAATAGCTTGGTAAATGTGTGTAAAGTTACAAAACTAATGCAAAATAACCAATATTTTAAAATATATGTGTACTAAACAATATTCAATATTAGGACGTGTGTATTTTATTTTCAGCTGATGAACGGCAAGCTGACAGTGTGGCAGTAGAAAATTCTACACCCAAAACAGCGGGTACTCCGAAGAGTGTCAATTTTTCGACTAAGAAAAAAGGTAAATAAAATGTAATTATTATGTAATTATTATTTGTCTGTGTGGTATATAAATAAAAAAAACAAAGAAAGCTAGGCTATAGATAGGTAGTAGGTAGGTAAATCTGTATATGTACTTAGCTTTGATGTTTATTATTTCAGCATTCAAGCCAAGAAAAATAATAAAACCAGCATCAGCTGAAGCATTGAAAAAATTGTATTTTAAGAAAAAATGCCAGAATGCTGATTTGGAAAGAAAGAAGTTGATGTTGGAAATTGCGCAAATGAAAAAAGAACATTCGTTGAGAATGGAAATTTTGAAAAATAAAGAAAAAAATATAGAATTTAAATGGTATTTTCATTGTTTTATTACCAACTATGTAATACCAATACTAATTAATATTTAGGAGTGTTTAATAATAAATTAAACAATGTTATAATACTTCGATTGTTTATTTTTAACAAGAAATTTAATTAAGAGAAAACACTGTTGACAATAACTGTTCGGACAGATGTCTGAACAGACTGTACTCCGGTGTGAAGGAAATGATCATCATCTCCATCAATGACTATATCATCAGGTGGTTCCACCACATCAAGTTCTATACAAAGATTATGTAAAACCACACATGCAACTATAACTTGCAGGACTGTTGATGTTTAGTTGAGTGTGATACCTTTTTTAAGGCATGGGCATCTGCGTTTTAGCACACCAAAGCATCTTTCTATTGTATTGCGGGTTGCAAGGTGACTTTTGTTGTAAGCTTCCTCTGAATTGGTTTGAGGACGCAAAAAGGGTGTCAGCAGATATTTTTTATTGAAGTAACCGCTGTCTCCCAATAAACAGTATGGACCATATTTCCTTCTTTCAAAATCTGCACATATGTGTGAGTTATTAAAAATCGTTGAGTCGTGGACCGACCCAGACCAACGAGCTATGAGGTCTCTTATTTTAAGAGTGGAGTCACAAACTGCTTGCACGTTAATAGAAAAGAATCCCTTCCTACGATACAGTTCAGGTAGTGACCCCCCTCTGCTAACTATTTTCACATGAGTGCAATCAAGGGCTCCTACCACCCGTGGAAAGCCATCAATTTGGAAAAATCCTTCAGCAACTTTACGTAGTTCATTTCTGTCTAATGGCATTTCAATATACACTGAGCTTAGACTTGCCAGCTTGCGGGTTATTTTTTTGTACTATTCTACATATTGTAGACTTGTGCACATTAACCAAATCGCCTAACACTTGCTGGAAAGATCCTGTAGCGAAGAACCTCAAACATATCAATAACTGTGTAAGGCCATCAATGGCTTTATTTCTTCGAGTTTCAGGTTCTAAATTAAGTATCTCGCGAATGCGTAAAGCAACTTCTTTAGAAATCCTGTATTTCACACGAAAATCTTCTCCCATCATGTTTTTCAAATAATTTTATCCTATCTGGAATTACACGACGTCGTCGTGGAACATATTGCTCAGGATCGGATAAAGACGAAAGGCTTGAGAGGGACATTGTAAATAATACTGAAATAAAGTAAAAAATCTCTATAGCACTATTTACAAAACAATTCACAGTTTAATGACACGTTTAATGGATGCTCGACAAGGCATTACAAATTCTAACCTCAAACTGTCAAATTAATGATCCTTTAGCGCTAATGATGTTTTGTGCAACGTAAAAATAAGCTAAAGTTCCGATTTGACATTTTGTTAAATAAAATTAATGGGGCATTAAAATTAGGGAGAAATGCTATTTTGTGCAACACTTTAAAGACTCATTAATATTTAACTCGTCGAGTACCGGTTTTGTAGACACAATTATAGAACAATAGGTTGCGGTCACCGGTGCCCGCTTGGTGTTTGACAGTTTAAGGTCACTTTAAAAATTTAATGAACGTTTCTGCAACTGACTGTAATTATGTGATTAAATTAAATTAAACAATTGTAAAAATGCCGGACCAAAGCGAAGCAACTGTCCAAATGGTCCCTAAGGATATTTTTAATTTAATTCATTCAATTTTAAGTTTGATGGTGATGAAAATATATTAAATTATTAAGAAAAGTGAGTACATATTAAGAAATTTTAATGGCCCGAATAATGCTTTTCAGGCAACATATATTTTTCATGCTATTACTAGTAGATTGTATGGTAGAGCAGCGGCTTTATTAAGTGAAAGAGAAGACATAATTACTAGGGAACAATTAAAACCTATTTTTATCCAACATTTTGGGGACCCTAGATCGGAAGACTGTGGCAATTGAGTTGGAAGATTTAAAAATTAATGTTAATGAAAGTTATTTGGAATTCTGTAATAGAATTCAACAAATTCGTAGCACTCTTTTCTCCAAGGTCAACTCGCTTGCTAGTGCGGAAATGAAAGCTGCAAAAATGATTATTTACAATAATTTGTGTCTTAACGTGTTTTTATTTAATTTGTCAGAAGACCTTATCCGAATTGTAAAGCTAAGGAATTGCAGAAGTTTGGAAAATGCTCTCAGTGTCGTAATGGAAGAAGTTAATTTTCAAATTCAATATAACTCTAAACATAAAAACAACACAAAATATCCTCATCAAAATACTTTAACTACAAATAACGCTATTAAGTTTCAGTCTCAAATAAATCCTAATGTGAATTCAAATAATTTTGGCTCTCCTGTTAGACAAAACTTAAAATTTGGAATACCACAAACGCCTCAAAATAATTTTAGACGCGCTTTCAATAATTATAGGTTTGGTATACCAAACCAAACTCTCCTCAAGCCTGATATATCACAGCCTCAAGGTACATTTAAATTCGGTATTCCGAATCAGCAAAGGTACAGACCAAATTTTGGTATTCAGAATCAGCAAGGTTACCGACCACATTTTGGTAATCCACAGAACCACAACAATTTTAAGTTTAGTGTTGCACCTCAACAAGGATTTAGTAATACACAGAACAGACCCAATTTTAACGCACCAAACCAACAATTTAAATTCGGTATACCATCGCAAAATCAACCGCAACGTAATTTACCCCATACACAAGATAATGACGTTTCTATGCGCACTGCTCGTCCCCTGAGGGCCTGAGGCAAAACATGATTACACATCGCACCTCCGCTCAAATAGTGTCACAACTCAAAAAAAATTAAATTCAATTTTATTGCACTATTGGAATCAGAAAACTCCGAAATTTTAACTCAAATAATGTCATGCACATAGTTCAACTATTTATCCATAGATGGCGCTTATGACATTATATCCTAAAGTGAAAGAATCGTCTTACCAAACATCAGTGTTGCCGTTTTAGCGACTGTCG